CCAGTGGCGTGAGGACATATTTCAATCCAGTAAAAATGCATCAAACTGATGAAAATTACTTTGATCAAAAACAGGAGAATGCATAAAATTTAATCCAGAACCCAAGAGCTTCCTATGGCGAGCCCTAGACCCCGGCCGTAATGGGTGCGTCTATGGCACACATTCCCTCTTCACTAATTCAAATAAACCTTGGTCTCCCAAATTTTGATTTTCCTCCTACACCCCTGTATCATCACGATACATCTGTACACACTAACGCATACTTAACAAAGGTTTCATGCAATCCTTGGTATTACAGCAATCCTCGTTGTGTCATTTGTGCTCATCTAGTTGCACTAAAAGACCAGTTGTCCGTCAAATGACCTTTTACTTTTTTCAATCTGTAACTTTTGGTGAAACTGGGCGCCAAAAACAGTAACAAATTAATAGTATCATCGCGCCACATAATTTTTAATTAAATGGCAATGCTGACAAACACATATCTCGCATAAACAAACAAACGAAAAAACAAAAACACAGCTGTACCTCGACATTTTAACGACAAGAACCACGACCTTTCACTGCTACACCTTGAAGTCTTAAGGTATTCCCCAGGCTGACAATTACATGAGAGGAATACTATTTGATTTTTACTCTGAATTCAAACAGTCATTTTTTTTTCTCCTTTCTATCAGAGCCAATAACCGATTATTGTTAAGATTGTACAATACTGGTTGATTCTTGTTCCCATTGTTACGAGTAGGTTTCCATTGTTATTAAGGGCGTTTATGTTCACTTATTTTAACGACTTTAGGCCCGAAATGTCAGTGTAAATTAACAACACTAATACCACTTGTTTGAGTTTTTTTTATCACTAGATTTATTGTAGTGCTTATTACTGAATCTTTAGAAGAATAAAGCACAAACCAGGGAAGCTGAAGCACTCGTGATTTTTGAAAGTTACACTTTAAACTCTAAAAGCCGGCGAAATAATGGAAAACAAATCGGCCTAAGAATTGTTATAAACCCAAGTTAACTATAGATGTATTTTCTTTCTTAATTCCTCTTAATTTGTCTGAGGTCTGTAAAAATATCATTCTGGATCCATCTTTTGTCTTCTACAGGACACTTTAATGAGCTTTTCGTTCAATACCAGAACTGGTCAGTTGGGCTGGAAATATAAATTTATTTGTTTGTTTTGAATTTAGCGCAAATCTACACGAGGCCTATCTGCGTTAGCCGTCCCTAATTTAGCAGTGAAAGACTAGATGGAAGGCACCTAGTCATCACCACCCACCGCGAACTCTTGGGCTACTCATTTACCAACGAATAGTGGGATTGACCCTCACTTTATAACGCCCCTACAGCTGAAAGAGCGAGCATGTTTGGTGGAGCGGGATTCGAACCCGCGACCCTCAGATTGCGAGTTGAGTGCCCTAACTATGCCAGGCCCGTCTTCAGTCGATGGTCGTCGAACTACTGTGGGTTCGTGGAAAGGCTTCACAAATAATGGAAAGAAAGCGGCAGTATAGTGCATATGTTCCAGTGTGGTTCGCCGAAATTTACCCCAAAGTAGTTCGCGAACAAAAAGTTTGAGGGCAATTGGCCTAAAATTTAATATTTCAGTTTGTTGTGGATAGATGAGAGGATTAGATTATGTCATTAAGATCTTTATCGGTGGTATTAAAACGAAAAAATTATCTCATAAATTGAAGACAAGTGTTGCTTTGAAAGGTGTGTGTATCATTAAGTACGGTAGTACTGTACTTAATAGTAGGGATCGTGATGAAACAAAATGGGGACCACAAAATCGCTTTAAAATGTTAAAAACACGATTTAAAAAAAAACAACAACTATTATTTAATACACAATTCTGTAAAAATGAAATTGTTTCCAGTCTTCAAAATACTAAAATAATAACTTACTGTACAAGGTTAAAAAGTGAGGACTAGAAAACAAGCTCATACACTCTACATGTTTCGACGTATACTACTGTGTCATCCTCAGGAGTGAGTTTCTAACATTGAACATTACACACATGCCGAAAAATATTTTAAATTTATCTTTAAAATGTTTGAATATTAACAGACTTTTTCACAGTATTGGCTGAGCAAAATTGAAGCTTGTGATACTTATAAAGCCGCCTAAATCTCTATATACGGGCTCAGTATGGCCAGGTGGTAAGGGCGTTCGACTCACAATCTGAGGGTCTCGGGTTCGAATTCCCGTCCCATCAAACATGCTCGTCCATTCAGCCGTGGGGGCGTTATAGTGTGACGGTCAATCTCACTATTCGCTGATAAAAGATTAGCCCAAGAGTTGGCGGTGGGTGGTGATGACTAGCTACCTTCCCTCTAGTCTTACACTGCTAAATTAGGAACGACTAGCGCGGATAGCCCTCGTGTAGCTTTACGTCATCACCACCCACCGCCAACTCTTGGGCTACTTTTTTACCAACGAATAGTGGGATTGATCGTCACATTATAACGCCCCCAGGGCTGAAAGGGCGAGCATGTTTGGTGGGACGGGGATTCGAACCCACGACCCTCAGATTGCGAGTCGAGCGCCTTATCCACCTGGCCATGCCGGGTCAAAAAGAAGGATAGCGTGAATATTAAACAGTGTATCCAAACCTTTGATTAACCTTAATTAAACGTAAGTTCATGAACAACAACAACATATGTATATAATATAATGTAAATTCATCAAAAAGTAATTTAGAAAGTTCTATTTCTACTTTGACAAATCACTAATTGTGTTAGTCTGAGCCAAAGTAGGGATAAATCAGTTTTTGTAGTTTTGTAGCATTAAAACTTTCTATATTATTATTATCATAGCTAACTAGTTTACGTATATATCGTTCCCTACTTCCTTTATAAAATTTAATTTTTTTATTATACTTGTTTAAGTAGTAGTCACGAGCTTTTGTGATTTTTCAAAAAAAAAAATATGTTATTTACACAACGATTTTTATGTCGCATTTTTCGAGTAAGAAAAATGTTGGTTGTTAATCCGCTTTTGTTTTCGGAAATATCTTGAAATATCTTTCCACGACCATATATATGTGGTTCTTGTGTGGATAAAAGATGAATACATACCGCCGTTTGTGTTGCGACGTCGAAGCTGGAAAGTTGCCAAATCACTTTTGTTAGCCCTACTTTTATCAATAGCAGTTTTAACTGACACTTGATTTCCGTGTGATTGTTGATTCTTATTAAGTTAAATTCTTAATCGTACTGTTGCAGAAAGATATAAAGCAGTAATAACATTCAAGTGAAAATACTTTCAGACTGTTTCTTTTTAAATATCAATTTTTTTAACCACACAATTCTACAAGGCCTAAAAAAAACTAGCATGTACAAACCTAACTAATACAGCAGAAATAGGTTTCCGTAACTGTGCACCTTCTGTAACATATTCTGTCGTTGAGCGGATTCTTTAAAATTATTTGTTGAAAATAATGCTAACTCTAGTCCACATAACAATAAAGAATTAGTTTTATTTTCTGAATAACTTTTCTACAGACTACTTCACTTACACACTGTTAAATTGTTAGTTTACAATTAACATTTGAACGGAAATATCTCGCTAATGGTACTACAACTAAAACACAAATAAACCACTTGAATTCAAGGACGCAGTAACTAATATTGATTAGAATATTTTACTGAACTTTAAAATCACCTAACTAACGTATTTATAACTAATGTATCAATGTCTAGATATTAGTTTAAGTTTCTCGATCTTAACGTCATGCGCCTTTTAACTAACATGTTAATTACATCATTGCCCCCTTCCTGAATTGTGAAGTTTATTGAAAAATACCGATACAAAATACTACAATAAACTGTACATTCACCAAGTAATTTTGGTGTTTTTTTAAGATCACGGTGTGCAACTAAGATGTTGTGAGCAGGGTCGAATTAAAACCACAGTAAGCCCTTAGGATACCTCATTTCTGTGGGCCTCACCTTCTCTATAAGTTTCTTTTCTCTTTTTTTTTGCGTTGAAAATTTTAACCTTCAAAAGCATAACCTTTTCCCAGATATAATATTTATAAGATACTAAGCAAAATATTTGAGAAGGCTATTAAAAAAGGATAAATAAATAAAAAAGCATGACCAGTTTGGGGGCCCTTGACTCCATGAGCTCATAGGCAACTGCCCGGTCTAGTTTTTGGATAATCCGACCCTGGTCATGCGTGCGATTTGGATGATTGAATGTTCTTCATCGACACCATACACAAAATCCAAATTTTCTTCCAGTAAAGAATTGGTATGAATTTTTTACAGTAAAAGTTAGGTTTAAAAATCATATCTACAGAGGATGTGATAATACTTGAAACAAGGCAACATTAGTTGCAGAAATTATGTATATTTACTAAATATGTGGTAAATATAAAAAAGCATTGTAAATTGGTTATTAATTCGTTTTTAGAATGTTTATATTATCGAGTCAAGAGAGTACAAAGAAATATATTGTAGGTGGTTTTTAAGCATAAAGAATGCCATTAAAAACTATAGGTTACTCTGTAAAAAAAGGAGGAAAAACTGGAGCACCTGTTTTCTTTTTCTTTTTTTTTGGCGGGGCGTACACCCTCGAAATAATTGAATGACATCTGCTCCTCGGATCTTTCGAACGTGACTAATTTTTAGAGACGTCGTCGTAACTATAGAAACCTTACGGGTAAGAGCTGATTTCGAGAGTAACTTGAATGGAATACTTTATTGTCTGTTATACTGGGTGACTCTCATGACATATGAGTACTGTGTACTATTTGGGTCAGTTTTTATATTCTCAATAATGTTATCTTTGTTCAGGAAATATTTTACTAGAACTATATATGGACTTATAATGGCAATATTGTATTTAGTTTTTCTTTCGAACATTAAACCCTAACAACACTCGTGTTTAATGTGACAAATATAAACGAATTCTTAACGTAGTAACCAATGGCAGTGTAAATATTGTTACAATGCACTGGCACCATCTATCTAATCTTTCTTCTGTTATTTTCCTAGAAGCTGTTCCAGTATCAGAGTGATGACGCTATGCAGAAACAAATCGGGCTAAAATTAGACAAAGCAAACACTCTACGAGGTAAGATACAGTTTGTGGAATTATAATTAGATAAAAGGTGTGTGTGTGTTTTCTTATAGTAAAGCCACATTGGGCTATCTGCTGTGTCCACCAGGGGACTAGATAAAGGGAGAAACATACTATTTCACTCGGTTAACCACGTGTTAAGATTTCCATATTAATCTGCCCCCCTCAAAAAAAAAAAAGGAAAGAAAGAAAGAAAAAGCAACTCATTATAATTCATTTTATGTTGTTCATTCAACTTTTTCTGAAGTGTTTGATTTAGTGTCTTTCTTATTTTTACTCGAAGCTTATATTAGTAAACGGAACAATAACAAAAACAGGAAGTGTGTTTGATAGATAAAAAAACATTTCGAAACAATAACAAAACATGAAGTGTGTGATAGATAAAAAACATTTCGGAACAATAACAAAAACAGGAAGTGTGTTTGATAGATAAAAAACATTTCGGAACAATAACAAAAACATGAAGTGTGTTTGATAGATAAAAACATTTCGGAACAATAACAAAAACACAAAGTGTGTTTGATAGATAAAACATTTCAGAACAAAAAAAAAACACAAAGTGTGTTTGATAGTTAAAAACATTTCGAAAAGAAAAGGAATAAAAAATACGATATTTCTCATATGGAAGTTGTATAAATCCTATGGTCAGTAAACTAGAAGGTAGCCTCCTTGAACACTGTGTGTATGCTTAGCAGAGGCGGCAACGGGCAAAACTGTGGCCTGTGTGTGAATTTTGTATTCGGCTCACCTGTGCAATTGACAATAACTGCTAATTGCAGTGTCAATTTTGGCACCCCTTGGGGTGAGCGAACTGTGCAGGGGGGGGGGGATACACGTGGAATCAAACTAGAGGAGTAGGTAACTGATTATAATATTAAAACATGAAAGAAGTGCTTTGGAAAAATAACGTATGCTATGTATATATTTCTCAAATCATGCGTGCACTGCGCGTGTTACTGAGTGACGTGTGTTTGGATCGCGTTAATTGAAAACTTTTTTTTTTAACTACGAGTACCACACTGAACAGGCAAAACCCAAAGTTCAGATGAAAAAAAAAAATCCTCCGTAAGCTTCTTGAACTACAACAAACACTTGGAGATTATACACACACACACACACGTTTGTAAAGTATGGTAACCTATAAATGCTGGAAACAAAAATAGTGAAAATTATTTTAACATCTGCCACACAATTCTATTACAAATATGTATCAAATTTTAGGTTTAATTATCAAAATATTGACATCTAAGTATATTGGGCAGAATCGTTCTGTTTAAACACGGATGTTTATTTTTTACAAATCTGTAAAAGTTCACTGTAAAATTTAAATTGCATTGAAATATATTCTCGTTGACTACAACAAGAAATTTTGCATTTGATTGGCCAATTCAGTAAGCCTAGAATAATTCTGATGTGATAGCGTAGACACTAAATCACTGGGACACGTGGTCTTCTGGTATAAGTTGACATTTGTCTGTTTTACGACAGTATCTAATCCAATTAGAATCACTCGGGCTGAACTATGAACCCTTGTTATATGGCAGGTCTTTCTACTGGCATGTTAAGTAACGCCATTCATCATTTCCCGGTACCTGATGCCGGTAGCCTTTGATGTGTTTGCCGTAAAGGAAGCTGGCACTCTTGACTTTCATATGGTTTTGTTTATGTATTTCCTTGTTAACTTGTCTTTGACCTAATTCTTGGAATAGATTGTTTTACTTTCATTTTGAACTTAATGACGGCTCAGAGAAACAAAGGTTGCCAACAAGTGGCGTTGATGTATTTGTCAGATTGTCTGTGAGGACGACGACAAAAAAAAAAAAGTTGGTATTGATTTTATTTACTATTATATGTATGAAAATCCTTCAGATTTGAGCAGTGGGCTTGGGAAAGTAGGGCAACGAGACTTATTTTTGCAAATTATTGAATTTTTAATAAATATTTTTGTATTTCAAAATACTTGCTTTTGATTGGATTTCAGTTGAACTTATAATCCAGTCAAAGTTTCTGATGAACAAAACCATGCTGAACTTGTTTTTGATATGTTTTTTTTTGTTTGTTGTTGGATTAATTTTCAGCACACTTGCAGATAAAAATGTTTCTTACTTCGAGTAGTGAATGCCTTCTTATTACATTTTGTAAGCTCCAAAAATCCTTTTCTTGTGTATCATAAATTTCCAAATTAGAATTAGGTGGTAAGTTTGAGTTCACTGTGATGAAAATTCTGAGTTTTTATTTTGTTACTTGTGGAATGAAGTCAAGAATACCTTGTTTTCAGAAACCTTAGTTAGGTTATTAATTTCCGTCTGTGATAAAATCTAATTTTGGGAAACAATTACATCTTCTTACAGAGTATGAAAAATGGTTGGATGTTGGTTCGATTGAAGCGTGAGCATGATATCTAGCAGTTTTACAAACAGTCTTGTGCAATATATATATCTGTACTAGCTTCTGGTCTTTTTTTTAGGCTTAGAAAGTTTTTTGACTGAGTAACTTTGACTAGTCAAAATTACGTGTAAACATTTTTCACAGCAAGACTGAATATAAGAATAACAGTTATTAAAAAAAAGATTGACTTTCACGAAATCTTTTATAAAAAAATTTTTTGTAATTTTATGAGATAAAATTTTAATAGTAAACTGTTATTGAAATATTTCTTCGTATGATATGAAGTTCAAACTTCAAAGTATAAGCATAGAAAAAATTATCCCCTCCAACTAAAGAATGTAAATCAACTGCCAGAGTAAATGAGACCCCTCCCCATCCAGACTTTTTTTCTTTCTATAGGTAAAACTGGCAAGGAGGGATCGCGTAAAAATGTGTAATATTTGTAAACTGCTGTGACCAAACAAAGTTATCCACAAGTTAAATTACATGTTCTATTCTAGCAAGTTGGAGATATGAGGCTAGCATGTTTCCAATAAATTTATTACAATCTCTCATCAGAAGTCCTACCTTCAGGGATAGCTAGCATCAAAGACAAACCAAACCCATCAGAGCAAGAAAGGAGAGAAAAGGAAGAAAAAATCAGTCGGTGCACAAATGTAGGTATTCTCTGTAGAAAAACAACTCTCAACATTGATCACTACTGAAGTGTACTGTAAACACTGACTTTACTCACTAGCCGTACTGTAAACACTGATCTTACTCACTATCCGGACTGTAAACACTGACCTTACTCACTATCCGTACTGTAAACACTGACCTTACTCACTATCCGTACTGTAAACACTGACTTTACTCACTATCCGTACTGTAAACACTGACCTTACTCACTATCCGTACTCTAACCACTGACTTTACTCACTATCCGTACTGTAAACGCTGACCTTACTCACTATCCGTACTGTAAACACTGACCTTACTCACTATCCGTACTATAACCGCTGACTTTACTCACTATCCGTACTGTAAACACTGACCTTACTCACTATCCGTACTGTAAACGCTGACCTTACTATCCGTACTGTAAATACTGATCTTACTCACTATCCGTACTGTAAACACTGACCTTACTCACTATCCGTACTGTAAACACTGACCTTACTCACTATTCGTACTGTAAACACTGACTTTACTCACTAACCGTACTGTAAACACTGACCTTACTCACTATCCGTACTCTAACCACTGACTTTACTCACTATCCGTACTCTAACCACTGACTTTACTCACTATCCGTACTGTAAACGCTGACCTTACTCACTATCCGTACTGTAAACACTGACTTTACTCACTATCCGTACTGTAAACGCTGACCTTACTCACTATCCGTACTGTAAACACTGACCTTACTCACTATCCGTACTATAACCGCTGACTTTACTCACTATCCGTACTGTAAACGCTGACCTTACTATCCGTACTGTAAACACTGATCTTACTCACTATCCGTACTGTAAACACTGACCTTACTCACTATCCATACTGTAAACACTGACCTTACTATCCGTACTGTAAACGCTGACCTTACTATCCGTACTGTAAACACTGACCTTACTCACTATTCGTACTATAACCACTGACTTTACTCACTATCCGTACTGTAAACGCTGACCTTACTATCCGTACTGTAAATACTGACCTTACTCACTAACCGTACTGTAAACACTGACCTTACTCACTATCCGTACTGTAAACACTGACCTTACTCACTATCCGTACTGTAAACACTGATCTTACTCACCACCCGTACTGTAAACACTGATCTTACTCACCACCATACCATAAACACTGATCTTACTCAGTATTCATACTATAAACACTGATCTTACTCACCACCATACTATAAACACTGATCTTACTTACCAACATACTATAAACACTGATCTTACTCACCACCATACTGTAAACACTGACCTTACTTACTATCCATACTGTCAACACTGACCTTATTCGCTCGCTATCTGGTACTGTCAACACTGACCTTATTCGCTCGCTATCTGGTACTGTCAATAAGGTCAATGTTTACAGTTCCAGATAGCAAATAAGGTCAATGTTTACAGTTCCAGATAGCAAATAAGGTCAGTGTTTACAGTTCCAGATAGAGAATAAGGTCAGTGTTTACAGCACCAGATAGCAAATAAGGTCAGTGTTTACAGTTCCAGATAGCGAATAAGGTCAGTGTTTGCTATCTGGTGCTGTAAACTCTGACCTTATTCGCTATCTGGTGCTGTAAACTCTGACCTTATTCGCTATCTGGAACTGTAAACACTGACCTTATTCACTATCTGGAACTGTAAACACTGATCATACCTGAATGTTTGAATTAGAAAAATATTTTTTTTTTATCTTATGCTTACAGATTTGAATTATAATATCCAAGATAATTTCTATCATCTCTATCATCATAAGTGACATAGGAGATAATAGGTTTATCAGTCTTTGCTTTTAATAACAAAATATTTTAAAAAGCATCTACGAGTCACTCTGAATTATTCCTCAAGTCATTAAAATTTTCGAGTAATTAGTATAAGGGTCAAGGTCATGTTATGAACTATTTCTTCAAGTTCTGTTATTATCTATATCATGTTGTGTTACGATAATAGTAAGTTTTTATGTGTGAGAGCTTGGGCATACAGGTGTGTGCCGCACAGATTTTTTGTTTTTTGTGAAAAGGTATAGAGATAAGACCATATTGGATTCTCAGGCTCATGCAAGTCACTAAAATTGTTGTGTCATTATTATTCTTTTAGCATTCCCGTGTTTGGATGTTCTGTTTTTTAAATAGCCATTTTGTTTTCCTTTAATACTAAAAACAAATATGATTGTTTCCTTTGTTATTCTGAAAGGTTTGCCAAAAATATAATAATGTTCCTTTAAAGTTATTGTTTAAAAACTCATACTTATTTTATTGGTTCAGTTATTGTGTACCTATTCGGTACTACATCGCAAAATAAAAAGGTCAAGATTTTAGACATTTCTGTTCAAAACAATAAATCTGTATCGAGCTCTAAACAAATGTTTAAAGTTAAGAACTAATAATAAAGTTTGACATTTTACAGTTATAAAATTTTTCTTTCGGTTAGCCTGTCAGGCCGTGGATAATATCTATCGTTATAGGTACTACTGTATAAATGTGACCTTGAGCACCAATAAGCTACTACATTAAGCTCATTGTACGTGAGTCAATTAGGATTCCTTAAAGCAAACAGCAGCTGGAAAGAACTACAGTGGGTCACATAGCCCAACAAATGCTCCATTATGTGGCAGAATGAATGATAAATATAAAAGTGTCATGTGAGAAAGTAAGAAAATTACATCACTCCTATAATTGATGTAAGTGATATTGGTATAGTAATGTTTATAAAGAACTATTTCATTGCTTCATGGAATGCGTCCTTTTTTCTTTTTTTTTCAATCCTCAAAGTGTACAGTAGATATCTGCTAATTCTTGTAAAGCTATCTTGTTAGGATTTTGAATTGGCAGTTTCTGAGACTTAGATGCTACATGATCTATGGTATTAGTTGAACTGGTGAAACCAAGGATCTTTGGCCTCTACTTTTTCTTTTCATTAATTCCATGAAAACTAACATTTAATATCCACACCCACATCTGTCAGATGTTTTACTGTCCATGTGTTTTTTGTCTGTGGGTGTTTTAGTTGTGTTTGTAGTAATGTTTGTAATAAACACTTGTCATTGCTATTATTTTATACCTTGGAGTGAAGATAAAGAGATGAAACATCTACTATTCAGCAAACTGGAAATTACTTTAAAGTAGACTTTTTAATTAACCATTTTTCTGTGCCAGCCAGTGTTCATAAAGAGCAAGAAATAAGAAAGATTTTTTTTTACATATGTGTACTTATTTAAATAATTCACTGGAATGATTTGTAGTGTAGAAGTGCTGTAAACAAATTAAAATGGATCTATTTTCCAACAATGGGTATTTTTAATGAAGATTTAAGCAGTATTCTCCATCTTAAACAGTTGATAGATGGAAACAAGATTACTACATTAATTCTGAGCTGGTTAAGAAACAATTGGGAAGTTTGAAAAATTATAAGGCTCCTGGGCCAGATAATATTTCCCCAAGGGTTTTGAAGGAGGTTAAAGATTGAATATATGAGCCATTTGCTACTATTTTTTGTCCATTCTTGAATAGTGGGCAGATACCAGAGAATTGGAAGTTAGCTAATGCAACTCCTCTTTTCAAGGGAGGTGATAAACATTATCCCAGTAAATATAGACCTATTAGTCTTACATCAACTGTGGGAAAAGTTTTGGAAAGTCTGTTAAAAGTTTTTTTCCAAAGTCATTTAACAAAGTTTAGAATTTTATTGGATAGTCAACATTGTTTCACTAAGGGAAGATCTTGCTTTACAAATCTTTTAATAATCTTTGATAAGGTTACTGCTTATGTAGATGAGGGTAAGGGTGTAAATTTGGTGTATCTGAATTTTCAACAACAACAAAAAATAAGTAAATAAAGCTCTATAGGTGTGGGGGATAAGTTAGCAAATTACATAGAAGAGTGGCTGGATGGAAGAAAGCAGAGGGTCATTACAAATGAAGTTCAGTCAAACTGGATTAATGTTACAAGTGGGGTACCTCAGGGCTCAGTCTTAGGACCTTTGCTTTTTTTGATGTAC